AGCGCCATGGGGCAGGAGGCTTGAAGCCTCGGAGACACCAAGTGTGTCCCCCCCGTGCCCACTGCCACAGCTCGAGCCATCCTGCCCTCCCATTCCATCCTGAGCACCAGCTCTCCTGAGATCCAGGCCCTGGGCACGGTCCTCCCTGCACCAGGCATGGAGACACCAGGGCTGGCGCCCACGGGTGCTGTGGGTGCCCCTGCGGGATCGCTGCCCCTGGCGCTCGCGTTCGTGCGTGCTTGGGGTCCTCCCTGCGGGAGCCCCGAGGGGCTCCCCGGGCCCGTGGGGCTCATGACATCTTCCCACAGGTGGCCGGGGAGCAGAAGTACCACCCCGAGTGCTTCAGCTGCCTCAACTGCCACGCGTTCATCGGTGACGGGGACACCTACGCGCTCGTGGAGCGCTCCAAGCTCTACTGGTAGGTGGGAGCCGCGCCGGGGCATGAGGGAGGGCCGGGAGGCGCTTCCCATGGGATGGGCCACGCTCCACTGCGTCTCCTGGCCCCACTCACCCAGCGCCCCCTGCCCCACAGTGGGCACTGTTATTACCAGATGGTGGTGACGCCAGTCATCGAGCAGATCCTGCCGGACTCGCCGGGCTCCCGCATCCCACACACCGTCACGCTCGTCTCCATCCCCGCTTGCTCCGATGGGAAGAGAGGCTTCTCCGTGTCCATCGACCAGCACTGCAGCGCGCAGGGCTGCGGCGCTGAGCACTCGCACACTGTCCGCGTCCGGGAGTATGTTCCCCTCTCCCCGCGCGCGGTCGGCACCCGAGGGTGGGGGGTTCCTGAGGGGCCCTTACCCTCCTGCTTGCAGCATTAACTCCCTGATTTGCTTCCCAGAGCTTTTCCAGGTGTGGGTGGGTAAGGGATGAGGCTGTCCCCATCTGTTGGGGTGGCCTGTGGGGAACGTGCCAGCATTGCTGATGGGGTGGTCTGAGGATGCCAGGCTGGCACATCCTCCCCTTATCCTTGTGATGGATTTGTGGGTACTGTGCCTGCATGTACCCATCTACTGGGATGACTAATGACTATCATGCTTCTGTGTCCTCATCTACACGGTGACTCGTGGGTGACATGCCAGTGTGTCCCTGTTTGCCACGGTGTCCTAGTTGCCCAAGTGGCTCGTGTGCAATGGGCTGGCGCGTGCACGGCCTCGGCATGACCCCGGCTCCTGCGCTGGCTCACGCGAATGGGGACCGAGCCAGCGGGACTGACCCCCCAGCCCTTCCGTGTTGGCCCTGCAGAGTTGACCCAGACTGCATCAGCCCTGACATGAAGAACTCCATCCATGTGGGAGACCGGATCCTGGAGATCAACGGCACCCCCATCGGGCACGTGCCGCTGGACGAGGTACCGCTGCACCCGGGCACGCAGCCGTGGTGCTGGCTCACCCCGGCGTCCTTGGTGAGCCAGCACCGTTTCTGCCCCTAGATCGACCTGCTGATCCAGGAGACCAGCCGCCTGCTCCAGCTGACCATCGCACGCCCTGCAGCGAGGCCGGCGCCATGCGGCAGCGCGCCGTCATGTAAGGCCTGCACCTCCCGTGTGCACCCCGGCTTCCACCCCTGCTCCAGGCACCCACCGGAGCCTTGGCATGGCTTTCCCTGCAGGAGGAGCTGCAGCACGGACAAGTCTCCCGCCTCCAGCTCCGTGGGCTCACCGGCCTCCCAGCGCAAGGACATCAGCCGCTCCGAGTCGCTCCGTGTGGTCTCCCGCACCCACCGCATCTTCCGTCCCTCGGATCTGATCCACGGCGAGGTGCTGGGGAAGGGCTGCTTCGGACAAGCCATCAAGGTTGGTCCCTGGCCCATCTGCCTCCAGCCTGGCTACAGCAGGGACAGGGAGGGTCATCACCATCTTATTCCTTCCTTGTTATCCCTGATCACAAGGAGAACCTTCATCCTGCACCTCCTCCCGCCTGTCACCTAGCAAACCTCTGCCCTTTTCCTTGCAGCCGCTCGTGTGCGAGGGTCCCTGGGCAAACTTGCAGCAGTAGGATATGGGGTAGCATCTCCCAGGCCCATTGTATCCCTAGTGCTGGCCTCATGGGGATGGGGGTGACCACTGGGAGCCAGTGGCTCAGTGCCTGCCCTCCCTGCTAGGTGACACACCGGGAGACGGGCGAGGTGATGGTCATGAAGGAACTGATCCGCTTTGACGAAGAGACGCAAAGGACCTTCCTCAAAGAGGTGAGTGTCCTGCTTCCTTCCATAAGGCTAGGTGCCCTGGGCTGGGGGGACAAGGACTGTCATCCTGTGGGAAAAGAGGGGAAGCGCAGCGGGTGTCCGGCCTTGGTGCTGCTGGGCAGCCCTGTGCTGAGCAGCTGGCTCAGGGCCAGGCGGAGCAGCCCTGTTTCGGAGGAGCACAAGGGGCGGGTGGCCAGCAGCAACGTGAGCTCCTGGCGCTCACGCAGAGAAGTGCCCGCGGCGCCCAGATGAGGAGGTGCTGCGTAGCGAAGGCTCCGGGAGCCCCCTGAGTCAGCACGTTGAGGGAAGGGGAAGCGGAGACTCGATCCTACCGTCGGAGACCTGCATGGGGAAGGGAAATTGGATAGCGCCGGGGAGGGATCTGGTACAGTGGACAAAGGGGCGACGACAGGAGGGAGTTAGAGGACAAAATGGGACCAGTGCAGGATAAAAAACAGATTTGCCTGCTAAAGCTGAGCGTGATCAACACGGGCATCAGTCTCCATTGCGGGTGTAAGTGGCCCCTGCCAGCCCGGCTCTGGGGAGCCCTCATGTCCTGGTGGGTGCTGTGGTCCTGCAGGTGAAGGTGATGCGCTGCTTGGAGCACCCCAATGTGCTGAAGTTCATCGGGGTGCTGTACAAGGAGAAGAGGCTCAACTTCATCACGGAGTACATCAAGGGGGGCACCCTGCGGGGCCTCATCAAGAGCATGGTGAGTGTGGGGCTGCAGAAAGACCTGAAGTTGCTCTCCAAACCCTTCCCCATGGCCCAGCTCTGAGTCTGGGGGCTGAGTGCACCAGGCAGCCTGTGGCGAGGACCTAGCGACCCTGGGGCTCTGCGGAGTGGCCCTTCTTTCCTCTTCCTTGGCAAATGCCACCTACTTCTGCCGACAGGACAGCCACTACCCGTGGAGCCAGCGCGTCAGCTTTGCCAAGGACATCGCAGCTGGCATGGTGAGGGCACTCGGGCAGGCTGCAGGGGGGCATGGGGACACGGCATTGCCATGTGTGGTGCGGGTTGGGTGGGTGCTGCAGTGTGGATGTACTGGCAGTGGCTCGGGGTTGTGGTGTGGTGGGTCCGTGGGTGCACAGGATGGATGCTCTGCATGGGATGCGTGCGATGTTCTGTGTGGGGCACTGCTGGGTGCACGTGTCACACTGGGGTGCCCTGGGCCTGGACACAGCTTGGTGGGTGTTTTAAGTGCTACTGGGTACACGTGTGCTGGGTGCCAATGTGCTGAGTGATGCACTGGGTGCCGCTGCGTGTGGATGGCGAGCACCAAGCATGGGTGCCACTGCGGGGCTGGTCCTGGGTGCTGTCACCCCACCCTGAGCGTGTCCTTCCCCTCAGGCCTACCTCCATTCCATGAACATCATCCACCGTGACCTCAACTCCCACAACTGCCTCGTGCGGGAGGTAGGTGCTGCTGCGGTTGTGCAGGCCAGGCAGCGGAGCTGCCACCACCGGCGTCACCCTCCGGCCCATGCGAGGGTCCCGGCCAGGTTCACCTCACACCTCAGCCCTCCTCTGCCTGTGTCCTGCCCAGAACAAGAGTGTGGTTGTGGCCGACTTCGGCCTGGCACGGCTCATGGTGGATGAGAAGAACCAGCCTGAGCATCTCAAGAACTTGAAGAAGCCGGACCGCAAGAAGCGCTACACGGTGGTGGGCAACCCCTACTGGATGGCCCCCGAGATGATCAATGGTGAGGGTGGCCGCGGGGCCCTGCAGCATGGGGCATGTGCTAGGGCAGGGGCTGGGTGTGCAGCACAACCCAACCGCTCTCTCCCTGCAGGCCGGAGCTACGACGAGAAGGTGGACATCTTCTCCTTCGGGATTGTCCTGTGCGAGGCAAGTACTGCTCGTGGCCCTGCTCTAGGGCCTTTGTGGTGTTTTTAGCCGTCTGCCTTCTCCTCACTCCCGCTGTCCCCCAGATCATCGGCCGAGTCAGCGCTGACCCTGACTACCTGCCCCGCACTACGGACTTCGGCCTCAATGTGAGGGGGTTCCTGGACCGCTATTGCCCCCCTGCCTGTCCCCCCAGCTTCTTCCCCATCGCGGTGTGCTGCTGTGACCTGGACCCTGAGAAGCGGTGAGCACTTGGGGCCTGTCGTCACTGTGTGCTGGGGCAGGGGGACGGATGTGGCAGGGGACACGATACAGGGGTGGGGACGCACGTGGGATGGATGGGGCCAGCCGAGTGCTAAGTGGAGCTCGCAAGGAGCTGCTCTCTCTCCTGCTCCTGCCTAGGCCGTCCTTCAGCAAACTGGAGCAGTGGCTGGAGACCCGGCGCATGCACCTCGAGATCCCCCTGCCGCTGAGCTCGCAGCTGGAGCAGCTCGAACGGGCCTTCTGGGAGACGCACCGGCGGGGCGAGAGCGGGCTGCCCACGCACCCCGAGCTCCCCGACAGAGCCGTGCAGCCCTGCCCCCTCTAAGGCCGCGAGGGGAGCACGGCGCCCAAGATGAGCAGCTCCCACCGCCTGCCCTCGCCCCCGGGGCTGGCTCCCCGGGGCTCCCCCATGGAGCCGGAGCCCCCATCTCGCCTGCTCTGCCAGGGCCCGTTTCGTTGCTTCCCGTCCTGTGTTTGCAACCCTGATCCCTGGGAGCTGGCTCTCCCGGAGCCTCCATGTCCTGTGGACCCTGTCTCCCTGCCCGTGTCCCCCCTTCAACCCCGGCTCACCGGGGGCTCTTTGGACTGCACGGACCTGCACGCGACTGCCGCCCGGCCCCTCTTTGTACATAGCCCTGTACGTAGCTCCTGGCGGCC